TGTTTGTGACTTAGACCTAGCCAGGGTACAATGGGAGGCTGATGTTATATGACTCAAATCCTATCTGAGGTACTTTTAGTAAGCAAATAAGGTTGTGAGTTTTGTGATGCTATGGTGACCCCGCATGCTTACTTTGTTGTGTGTATTAAATGTCCTCATGATTTTATAACTACACTCATTACATGCTCATCTGTTGAGCTCAGCATATGAAATGTGTTTACATGGGCAGGTTCTTAAGTTACAGTTCGAGGAGCTCGTTATCAGATTCAGAGTCCAGAGTTAATCAACTATCAGAGTACGTCTCGAGTATTATAGTAGCATGTACTATCATAGACCCTATTGTCTTATTGAGTCGTAACTCTATTTTAATTTATGTATTCTTAGAGACTATTGTGGGTGCTCCCCATATTTGTAAACATGATTATATTTGGTATTTTATCGTGTTTTGAATGTATGAATGGGTTAAATGATTTCAAAAAAATGGCTAGCCACTTAAGTGGTTTAGTGTAATATTTTAATCCTTCGAATTTTGGGTCGGATCAGATTAGGGTGTTACAATGTCACTTCCCCTGGTTGCAAGACTCGAAAATTGTGTTCAAATTTGTGGCCTTGCGTTTTCCATTGTAGTTGTTTAATAATGGATGAGTTGTACAGTTTATCTCCATTAGCTACTATAATAACCAAATGTTTATTGGACACGATCTCTGCACTAGCTTTTGCTCATGTCACAAAACTGTGGGTGTTACCCGTATCTATCAAAATACTGAATGGTTTTCAGTTGATAGATCCCAACATTCTTATTCTATTGTGACACACACACTACTTGTGATGGATTAAGAGAAATTTCCAGTGCTTCTTTTCCCTCTTTTGTTAGAACAATTTCATGTATACAATTTTGGATGTTTTTATCGCCCTCTTTTATTTCCTCTTCTAAGTTTTGCAATTCTTCTTCCATCATATTTAGTTGCTTGGGTTTGCTTTGGTGTCCTAAACCGAACTTGTCTCCACATCTAAAACACATATTATGGTTTATTTGGTAATCAATCAATCATTGTTTCTGGTTGTTTTTAGTATTATTTGGTTTCACCATTAATCTCATAGATAAAGTAGGAGGCTTGGAGGGAAAGTTCTGATTATTAGGGAAGTTTGTCTTATAAGGATCCCTGAACTTTTTCTCTATTTCTAAAGCGAGTTCGCATAATTTTGCTTTTCTATCTGCTTCTGCCATTGATTTTGGTTCCAAAACCTTGACTTTGTGCTTTAATTCGTCTTTGAAACCACTAAGAAATATAGAAACAAAATATTCCTCCCCTAGTTGTGAGTTCATTTGTAGCATATAGGGTTGTAGCTCTTCAAATCTATCCAGGTACTCGTCAACTGAAGTTTTTTGTTATAACTTATTAAATTCGTCTATAATACCTATATGTTCTCTATCAAAAAATCGATGAAAAATGTCTGCTACCAAGTTTTTGTTTAGTGGGTGTATTCATGTTACTTTGCGCTTTCGAGCCTAGTAACTTATACACCCTGTTCTCCTAGATAGAATGAATTTTTCTCGTATTCATTAATAACAATGACTTATAAGTAGGGGTGTGCAAATCCGTCCGGGTTGGAGATTTCTCGGTCCGTGTCCCGGCACGGATGTTCCGGGTACTTGGATTTTGCGAGTACCCGTAACTCGGGCACCCGGATACCTGATTTTTTTTCTTCAAATTATTAAATAAAAAAACACACAAATTTAAATGTTCAAAACTTCGAATTACATAGTCCAACATCGAAACACAAAATTTAAAAATTCGAAATACAAAATCTAATAATCTATAATATAAATAAAACATAAAAGTTCATAGCTAACTAGATGAGTAGATACTAGATACAATCAACTTGATACTTTAATCATGAATTGAATTTATTATCATTACTACACTTCTTCATTTGCCATTCTCTTTTCCTACAAGCAATTCTTTCATTAGATATAAATAAACCATAAGTTTACAACAACCAATAAGTTTAAATATATTGATTGGCTATGAAATTAATCACATGTTTATCCTAGTAAACTAACTTCCTTTAGTAAATCAATGACTCATATTTAACCTAAACACATACACCTCTCAGTAAATGCATTTAAACTATTGTGAGGACATGGATTCTAACTCTCGTGGAAACCATGAAGTAAATTTGAGAACTATCTATTCCATTTCCATATCAACAACTCGAACTAAATTAGAGTTTCGTCTCCATGCTTGCTTCTTTTAGCATTTAATTAATTCCTTGCATCTAACAATGTACATAAATATTAAGTAAATTAGCAATAAGCTTCAGAAAATTGGTCCCCATTTCTATTATTTTCTTGTTAATAATGTTAATAATATCCCAAGCATATTTAGGTGCCGGCCCCATGTAATCATATCAATTACTTGGCTTGCAATATAGTAGATGCCACTGTCTGATTAGGAAATCAAGTGCAATATTGATGAATTTCAAGTGTTTATCATGAATATTAAGAATATAGCACGTTACCGTTGTTAAATAATTGCATTATTTAATTTTGTTTATGAAAATTAGTAAGTGGTTTTAGAAAATTATTGTTTTAATTATTTATATTATTTATTTATTTATTGTTAGAAAAAAATTTGATAATTTTAGAGCTTTAAATGAGAAATTGATTCAAGCGTTGTTGAGGAAAATGTAGAACCAATTGTTGGTTCGTATATGAGCAGACGTGCACAATGTTTGTAACGTTAATGTCCGAACCGGTCGGGCTCTTTGTGGGTTTGCGAATGTTTTAACTCAAATGTGGGATATTTTCCTTAAATAGAACAGATCTTTTCAAAATCTATTTTGGAATTAAAAGGATAAATATTAAAATGTTCCTTTAACTAAAACATTAATTTTGAAAATTGATTGGTTGCTTGATTCTCATTAATGTTTTATTGGGTCAAAAATTTTCAATTGTTCACAATTAAATACCGTGTAAACCTACTAGGTTAATTAGAATTAAAAACAACTCAAAAAGTTTTCTCCTCTAGTTTTTTTCATTGATAGAAGAAGACAATGAATAGTTCATATATTTAAATAGACCCTTCTTTGCTTTATAAATATAATTTAAATCTATTTATTTGTTTTTATTTTTAGAATACAAATTAATAAAATATAAAATGGATATAAGACAATACTTAATTAAAAAATTATTCATTTAATAATAAAATTTCATACATATTTAATATCTCAAACATCCATTAAACGTGTTAAAACCTAAAATCTCAAAAGATAAGAATCCCTTCAACACTATGCCATAGATATATAAAGTTGATGGCTCGTATAGCAAAATATATACATGTTCGCATATAAAAGCATTTATTTATCTATTAGTTTTACTTTGGTGGTATATTTGAAATATATAACTATGTGAATGTGATATATAAAATTATGATTTTTTTATTTTTTAAAAAAATATGATTTTTTTGTTTAATACTGTACAAAGGGTTAAGTTTGTTCCACCATACTTTCGAACAAACATCGAATTTATAGGGTTCACGACATTTTTTAATGAGACAAATAATATAATCACGTTTAAAAAAATTTTAAAAAATGAATTAAAATTTTAAAATTCAATAGTAATCAACAGTAATAGTCAATGGCAACCGATGACAAGATATTTTTAATCACGGGCTAGATTGATATTTTATATAATATTTAAATATTAAATTAATATTTTATTTAATTTTTTGGAGTAAAATTTATTTTTTAAGAATAATACTTTTTTTTAAATTACTGAAATGACACTAAAATAACATTATTTACCATTACGACATCTTTTTAAGACACGTTTCCTATGTCAACATTTCAAAAGTCAAATTGATATTTTTATTTCTTTTATATTGGGCCAAAAATTGTACGACTTCTATTTTAAAAAATATTATGCACGATACATGTTTTGACATGTAATTGCACGAGCATGAGTACAAGCACGAGTCAATCAAACGATTCTAGCAGCGTGTGTTTATAAACCTTAACTTTAATCACTCAATCATTATTTGTTTATAAAACTATATTGAAAATTTTAAAACAATTTATATCAGTAACGTAAGATTTGACAATATTAGGATAAAAATTTATTAATTTTGAACTATTAAATACATCTTTAATTTGATTGAACTCGTATTAGTACAATAATTAAAGATAATTTTAAATATTGGGATCACGAATATTTTATAAGAAAAACACTTTTCTTTAATTGTCAAACTAATATAAGTTTGATCAAGTTTAAGAATTATCTTTAACAACTTAAGATCAACAAATTTTTGTTTAGATATTCTCAAATTTCCATGGCTTATATATGAGTTTTTTACGTAATTTAATATAATATTTTAAACCTACACTTATTAAGTTATTAAAGTTATATATACATATTGTTGATGTGATCATCCAAAAAGACATCAACTCATATAATTATGTGTCTTCAATATGTACTGCACTCATTTTTTTAATAAAATTCATATAATATTATTCTAATATTTTCATTTTTCCATTTTGATCCTAGACCACATAATCGTTGTAAAAATAGTCTAAATATCTAATTAAATTAATATTTTATCTAAATTTTAAAAATTAATTTAAGATTTAATATCTTACTAATATATCATGTCATCAAACTAACATTAGTAATACTTAAAATCTCAATAATAAAAAATATTATATATAAAAATATAAATAGTAAATACTTTAATTTTTAAATTTGGATATTTTACCTTCATTGAATTTGATTGGCGAATTATATAATATAAACAAACCCTACACCCATTGGGTTTCAGAACAAAGAGAGGCACAAAAATGACAAATATTTATTTATAAGCTAGGAAAGAGAAAATAACACAAAAAATAATAAAAATATGTATGTTACTAAAAATGGAAGAGATTGATTGTGGATGGTTTTGGCTACAAGTTTTCAACTCAAAATTGCCTCCTCTATTCTGCATTCAGCAGCTGAGTTTTCCCGTCTTCTCTAACCCTTTCCTTCCTTCCTTCCTTCCTTCCTATTACCATCTTTAAGCTAACTCACAATTCTCTTTGCTTTCCTTTTTTTTCCTTTTCCAAAACCTCTTTTCTTTAATCCTTCCCTCATTGTTTATCTACAAAGTGAAGGGAGAGAAAAGATCGAGGCTTTTCCTAGTTTTCTCTCTGAATTTTTTGGGTTTTCTTTTGTTTGGTGAGGATATTTTCTTAAGTTTGTTGTTTCTTTTTGGTGGAGATAATAAGCTGAGAAAGAGGAAAAAATGTGGGATCTCAATGACTCGCCGTATCAACAACCGAGAGACGATGAATCCGAGGGCTGTTGTTCGTCTCAGAAGACTTCCGTAGATGGTGATGAAGACAAGGGAAAACGGATCGGATCCATGTCGAATTCAAGTTCTTCAGCTTTGGTGGTCGAGGATGGATCGGAAGAAGAAGATGGTGAGCGAGTTAAAGCGGGGTTAAAGAAGAGAAGTAGCAGGATTTTCGGTTTCTCGGTGCCTCATGAAGAAGAAGAAGAAGAGTGCTCCATGGAGAGTGAACCGGCTCACGTGACCCGGCAGTTCTTCCCTCTCGATCAAGACCAGGAAACGGGTTCTTCTTCAGGGTTCCCCAAGGCTCACTGGGTAGGCGTCAGATTCTGCCAATCGGAGCCTCTCGCACCGGAAAGATCCGGTGAAGGTTCAAACCCGATGAAGAAAAGCAGGAGAGGACCTAGGTCGAGAAGCTCGCAGTATAGAGGAGTTACCTTTTATAGAAGAACTGGCAGATGGGAGTCTCATATTTGGTTAGTTTTACTTATTTAAATCACAACAACAAGACTTGGAATTTCATTTTCTTTCTTACCATATTTAAGCCAATCAGAATTTAAGGTGTTTTTGGGTTTGTCATTTGACGTACAGGGATTGTGGAAAACAAGTTTATTTAGGTATGAGAACTGTCCTTTTTTTTGCATCAGTTGTATTGGTTTTTCTCAGACAAGTTTCGTGTCTGATTTCTTCGTTTTCTCGGCTGAGTTAGGTGGATTTGACACGGCACAAGCGGCTGCTCGGTGATCTCTCCACTCTCAACCACATCTCTTTCTTTTATCACACAAAAAACAGTGGGGAAAAGAAAAAACTTAACAAAAACTTAATATGTATGGCAGTGCATATGATAGGGCAGCAATCAAGTTCCGGGGATTAGAGGCCGATATAAACTTTAGCATCGAAGATTACAAGGAAGACTTGAAACAGGTTATCTTATGACACAAGTAGTTTATCTCATCTTGTCTTACAAAAAGGTAAAAATTCTTTCTGTCTTTGTTGCATAACAGATGAGTAACCTAACCAAGGAAGAATTTGTGCATGTTCTTCGCCGACAAAGCACCGGTTTTCCCAGAGGAAGCTCCAAATATAGAGGAGTTACTTTACACAAATGTGGGAGATGGGAAGCCAGAATGGGCCAATTTTTAGGCAAAAAGTATCCCCCTTTTATTTTCTTAACCCTTGTATTCATAGCAAATAATATTATTGTTTCTTCATCGAGCTGTTCAATTGTCTTCATACAGGTATGTTTATTTAGGCTTGTTTGACACCGAGATTGAAGCAGCCAGGTTCGTGTATTTCCTCCTTTTTTCATCTTCTAAGTTAAAATACTTATAGTCTTCTGGTCCATTATTGTAGGGCATATGACAGAGCTGCAATTAAGTGCAATGGCAAAGACGCTGTTACTAACTTTGATCCCAGCATATACGAAAACGAATTTAATAATTCTGGTGGTAAGTAAATTAAATTCCATCGTATTATTCATTAATCGTTTTCTCTTTCAAAGATTTAGATGCTAAATCCTTCTTGTTGTTTAGAAACGTCCGGTAACGCCGGAGATCACAACCTGGACTTAAGCTTAGGGAATTTGAACTCGAACAATGTGAAAACTGTGACGGGCAGGCAAAGTGGTATGGGTTATAGCGAGGAAGAAACAATGCTGCTGTTGAGTCAAACGCACATTCAATCTCCAGCTTCAGCTAGGTATAATAATGGACAGTTTAAGAGACCTGGAGAGATGTTTCAGATTACTCCTCCATACATTAATCCATCAACTTATCAGGTTTGTGTGTAACTTATGATTGAGAAAATTAACACAAAATTACTTTTTTTTTATAACGTTTTTGTGTGGGTGAATTATTAGATTCATTTTCCAAGGAGCAGCAATGGAGGCGGAATTGGGTGTGATCTTTCACTATCAAGCGGTGATCATCAACAGTTGTTTGGAAATTCTGCAGCATCATCAGGATTCCCATCGCAGATTACACCTTCTTCTCCAACTTGGCTTCGCCGAAAAGGCTTCCATTCACTCATCTAAGGAAAAAAAACACTACCCTCGCTAACAATCTTATTGGATGTTTTTTTATCCTTCTTTTTTTACTTCAAGTTCCGACTTTTTTTGGCGTTGCCTTTAATGGCATTGCTTTGCAGCCTTGTACAGTTTTATATATAATAATAATAATAATAGAATAATTATATGATTGATCACTTATATTTTTATGTTTTTATTTTGTTTTTTTATTTTATTTTAAAAATATAATATATAATTTTTTTTTATTTAATTAAAATATGATCATCACGAATTAATTATCGTTAGACTATTAAAGATTTGAGTTGTTACAGTAACTAAATAAAATAGAAAATATATCTTTTTCACTTGAATTGGGGTAATTATATTGATTAATCGTTATGTTTGTGTTTTTCTCATTAATACTATTGGTTAATTATCGTTAGATCATTAACGATTTGTTGAACTGGACGAAATTAAAATAAAATAGAAAATACAATATATCTATGTAGATTGTATGTGGATTAAATTAAAAAAAATTGATATAAATGTGAAATAAAAAGGTGTAATCAATTATCATTTTTCTTTAAATCCTTAAAATAAAGTCCCCTTTAAAATACTTTTATTTAAATTCCTAAAACAACACCATTTTTATATCCCTAGCCACCATTAAAATCCTAAGAAAAAGGAAAAGGCAAAAAAACACGTCAACGATAAAGAATATTATAAAATTAAGTATTGATGACTTCAACTCGTTCTCCACAATGACAAATAGGTGTTGTTTTAGGATACTAGTTATTCACAACTCATTCTCACATTTTTTTTTGTTGTGGAGAACGAGTTGAAAATATCATTGTTTGATTCCATAATATTTTTCTTCGTCTGTGTGTCTTTCTCTTCTTCTTCTTAGGATTTTAAGGACTTTTAGGGATATTAAAAGGGTGTTGTTATAGGTTTCAATTTTATACCAATTTTTTTTTAAAAAAAAACTTAATCCATGTATACTCCAAGCGAAAATGATGTATTTTATGTTTTATTTAACTTTTGTGTAAGTTCAATAAATTGTTTATGGTTTAAGGATAGTTAACATGTGCTTAATTAAATAAAGACAAAAGCGACATATATTATGTTTTTTAAAACTAGTAAGAAAAAGTGGACAAAATAAAAAATATAAGTTATCAATCATGTATTTAACCTAATTCACGTGGAGACATGTATTTTATATTTTATTCAATTATCGTGGCAACTCAGCAATTATTAATGATCTAACGATAATTAACATATGGTGATCATATTTAAATTAAATAAAAATATAATGATCATGATCATATATTATATTTTTTTGAAATTAATAAATAAAAGTAGAGAAAGCACAAATATAAATGATAATGTAATTAATCTTAAAAACAGCATTTTTATATTGAATGTGCAACTTGTCATTTATGTCCTTTGAATCACTTCTCTCAAACCAAAAGCACTCGGACATGTGTGGTTATAATGACAAGATGGACTTTTTTGTCATTTTAACCCTTCCTCTTCACTCTATCCCATGCGTATTTTGCTTTACATAGGACGTCTTGTTGGGGGGGAAAGAATGAAGAGAAGGCACCGATTGGGTATCAGCATAAGCATCGAAAGGAAATATTATTTTTATTAGAGAATTGGAATTTGAATGTATATACATGATAAATATATGTTATTAATTGATTAAAAAATTAAATAAACAGTTTATATAATTATTTAAATTATTAAAAAAGTTTAATATAAAATATATAGGAATAAAACCCTAATAGTAGTCATCTTAACTAATTAAACTAATCATCTTGAAGAAAAAACAATTTCATTGGCCAAGGAGGTTAGGGTTTCCTCAAATCTCATTTTCAATGGCCTAGGGTATGATAAAAAATGGAAGGATTGTTAGTGGACAAGTTCACCTTTATTTATTGATTTGGAATTATTTAAAAAGGTTTAAGTTTTTAAAGATACTATTTAAAAATTTATACAAATTAAATATATATTCTTTAGTATTTTCTTATTCTCACTTAAATTGTCCTTATTGATTTTTTATCAAAATTTTTCAACTTTAACTCATTATTATTTAAAATTTATTATTCATAAAAATATGAAAAATTATATTTCAAAAACATTCAATTGAGTAATTCTAAAATATGCATTTTATAAAATTTAATTTTTAAAATATTTAAAACAAACATGATCAAAATTTAAAAAAATTAACTTTAAAAAAATAATAAAATACAAATTTAATGAGACGGATATGATATATTTTTTGAGGAGTCTACAATTCCTTTATAATTTCACCGGTGAAGATTGTACGAGGAAGTGAAGGGTCTTGTTAGGGGTGAGTGTTTAATCGAGTACCATAAAAAATTGAGAGACTCGATTCAAACTTCAACTAAACTTGAAAATCAATCTACTGATTACTAAAAATTTTGAGTTATTCGATTTGTGTTTTACAACTCAATTTGAACTTGAATTTTTTTCGAGCCAAGTCGAGTTTATGAAATTACAATTCATAATCAATTCAAATCGATTTTTTTCAAGTTAAATAGAGTAAAAAAAAATTAAATTTTCGAGTCGAATCGAGTTTTACATACCCTTAATATTTGTGTCTTTGGGATGAAAATTCCCTCCTTCCCATAAAGCATTATTTTTTTGGTTTGGATGGTGAAAGATGTTTAATATATGGTATTTGCATCAGTCTAGTTGTTAATAATTTTAATGTCCATTAGCAATATGATAAAGGTACTAGATTTAATAAAATATACTAAACTGAATAGAAAATGAATTTCGATTTCGTCATCTGGGTCGTCATTCTGCAATATTTTTTGATCAGTTCGCATACCGAGAGCATAAGATTTGTTTTAATAAAAAAAGGAAAATTTTCTATATGAAGAAAGGTCAAGGCCACCTTCCTCTCTCATCACCATCACCAACATCCTGAAGATTTAAATATGCAGAATCAATTAAGAAAGCAGATAACAAGAAAATCTCTCAACTCACTTCATCAATATTTCATTCATAATGACCAAATATATATACTATTAGCGTGGAATGAGGGATTGCTGGAAGATTTTTTTTTATTTTACTTTTTTTTTTGTTATATGTAGATTCATGAAATTTTTGGTAGAAGCATATGCAAACCCTAAAACCAAACAGTTAATATTCTGTCAAACTAATAGATATTAATTTAAGGGTGCGTTTGGTTCACGGAATGTAAGATTACCAGTGGGAATAAAAGATTACCAGGGAATAGGATTACTGGGAATGTTGTATTTTGTGTTTGGTTGATTTAGCAGGAATGTAAGATTACCGTGTTTGGTTAAAGGAATAAAAGATTATTGGAATATATATTTTACCAAATTGTTCTTATTATATATTTTGTATAATATTACAAATTGTAAAATATTTATATATTTTCTTTAAAAAATTAAATTTATAATATTTATATAAATATTTTTACAAAATTAAAAATATAAAAAAGGTTTAATGAAAGGGTAAATTTTTTTTAATCTCTGAACTTCATATAAAATTTTAATTATAGAATTTTTTTTGTAAATCTAAAATAATTTAAGGATAAATTTATAATTTAACCTTCGTAGAATTTTTATTATTTAATGATAGAAGAAGGATATTTTTGAAAAAATAATAAAAATTTAAGGGTATTTTAGTTCAAAACGCCGGTAATGTTACAATATCTAAGGGAAGGGAGGTAATGACATTCCCGGTAATATACCATAAAAATCTACTATTGATAATAAAATATTATCGAGAATGAAATTTCCGACCAACCAAACATGGGAAACACCCCTAAGAGACTTGTAATCACTGGGTTTATACTTTTTTACATTTATTAAAAAACGAAAAGTGGAAACAATTTGTTAACTTCAAAGTAATAATAATATTAATAGCTGGTAAAGTGTATACATATATAGAGTTAAACAAATCCTGTTGGCAAAATTCACGTAGCTGAAGAAACATTATTATTTATAAGCATCAGTTTTAGGTTTAATGTCAGAATTAGGGCTGTTTATGGAAGATTAATCCTACTGTTTAGTCTAAATAGTCGATTAATTGTTATATCGGTTATGAGATTTTTTTAACCGTAACCTAATCATTAAGATTATTTGTCAATTTTTTTTATAATTCATACCACAAAAAAATAGCACTTAACACATATTTACATCGATGTAAGTATGTACATTCCCAAAATCTTAGTACCTAACAATAAACACATAATTATATTGTTGTAAGTATATTTCTATATTTTCAAAGAAATAAAAAATAAAAAAATAATTATATTAAGTTATTTGTATACAAATTTATTAAATATATATATAAATTATAAATAATAGAAACTTATATCAAGTTATTTGTGTAAAAATATAATAAATTAGAAATATAATTATAAATTTAATTTATTAATGGTTAACCGTTTATCAAAATTTCTAACCATAACTTTAACTGTTAATCGTCATTTTTAACGATTCAATTAATTTATTTGTTATATATAATGGTTATACCGATTAACGGTTATTATTAGTGATTTTGAATTTTTTTTGAACATCCTTAGTCAAAATGTCAATCATATATCTGCATGTGATGAATGGCGAGGTGACTGCTGCAACATTTATACACATCAAATGGGTCCATTGATAAGCAAACGGTAACCCTTTAGGCGTTATTATATTAAAAATCTCTAATAATTATTTCTTTTAAGAATAATCTTTTAGTAGATTAATTATAAAAATAACCCCTAAACTGTCACATAAAATAATCTAGCATTTTAGAAAAAAGCGATGTCATATTTTACATTTTACGAAAAATAAATTTCATATATCTATTATTGTATTTATCTAATATTAAATTATTTTATCTAAAAAAATTAATGGGTATCACGTCCTATAAAACGCGAGATACATTAAAAGCGTTTTACAACGTGAGGTGATCCTACATAAACAGTTTAAGAGTTATTTTTCTAATAAATCTATTAAGGGGTTCTTAAAAAAATAAT